CTCTGTACTCACTTTTGTCTATACATCCATTTGTTGGTATATTTTACGACATAATACGCCCGGAAATCCGGACAGAGTTAGAGATTTGGCCCAATGGAAGATCAAGATTAAGGTATTTATCTTTATTTTTACATCCTTTCATTCACAGCCGGTTCTCGACATCATCTTTAATATTGAGCTAAAAAGACAATGGGTTTAAAAGCATTAGAGATTTAATGAGATTTGGATAAAGACCCCACTTTATTGTATATTGGCTATTTTGTTATACAGGTATCATATAACTTACAGTATATAATATAAATAGCACTAATTAGGCATAAGTGTAACCAATATTTAGTAAAGTTAACGTCCAATCGCTTAAATTGGCAATTAAATGTATTGAATTTAGAAATTTATTTGTTCAGCCGATTAATTGATTTAGTTATAAATGGTATTGTTTTACATTGTATTGTTTCCATACATTATTCAACGCGAAATAAATTTCAATCAACAAAAACTAATAATCTTTTAAACCATTCATATTGTCTGCCATTGAATGTAATCGAGACTTAAATTTCTAGGTTTTTTGCCACTACTTTCTAAGCGATTCTTTGTTACTGTGAGCTAATTATTGACATAATCTGAGATTTAATTATAAAGGGTTTTAGCGATGTTATTGTTTTTTGTTGAAAGAATATCCAATTTAGTGAACATATTATATCTACCAATGAATTTCATTTGCAATTTATTATACTTGCCATCAGAGCATACATAATAGGATTAATGTGAAAAACTTATACACGATTAATGTTTACTTAATCTTAAGAATCAATTAAAATAATAAACATTAAAATGGTATTTATATTTGAAATATATTTTTGAATTTTGTACGAATAGGTGGTGAAAATGTTGATAACAATTGTCATACTGTTTGCCGTGTGTTGGCTCCCGATCCACATCTTTAATATCATTGTCTGGTTTTTTCCGCCGAATATCAATAAATCCAAAACACTTTACATGACTTATGTCTTCAGTTACTTCTTCTCGCACTTCCTCTCAATGAGCCACTCATTCATCAATCCTTTCGTTTACGGTTTTATGAGCGAAAACTTTAAGGTATTTGTTATCAAATCATTGTTTTGTAAATTCCGTACCCAAAGGAATGAATGAATGAATAGTGCATTTAATATAGCATTTTAAAACAATCTCAATTCTACCGACCATGTTGTCTCTCTATTAACATAATTATTGCACAAAATATATTGTTATAGTGTTGTTATTTTTGCATCACAACTAATATCCTCTGTAAATATGCCATACATTTAGTTAATTAATTATAAAAGTTAATTAAAATGATAAAACTTTTTCTAAATCAGTTGAGTTTGAGAAGGCTTTTGACGCGAATGCGATACAAACCACGTCTAACCGACACAGAAATGGATAAATTAGAGGCTTTAGAGACATCCCATAACACACAAGAACTCAGTCGACTTAATTCATTGTAAAAATTTATATCATTTCCATTATTTTTATCATATCATGAATATTCTGTATACTTGTCTATCATATGTTTGTATTACAAAATAATATTTTGTATAAATTCTTTTAGATATAAGTGATTGTATAATAAGTTATAAAATTATATGTATATTATGTGTATCAGAATATTATTTAAATTTTATATTTACTTTTAGAATAAAGAGAAACTAATACCAGTTGTTTCGTTACATTCCTTGACATTTTCTATACATTATAATTCTCTCTCTCTCTCTCTCTCTCTCTCTCTCTCCATTTTGAGCTAATAAATAATTTAAGGGAATATTTCTTACATAAAATCCAATTTAATTTGTTAAATCACAAACAAATATATTTGAATGAAGAATGTAAATTTAATCATTACATATTTATTGTTGTTATTAAAGTTTTATATACATTACTGTACATTATATCTAAAGTTACTCAGTTTTAAGTTGTGATAACTTTACAAAAAGATATATTTATTTTACTTCCTTTATTGTCTCAAATATTGTGTTCAAAATATTATGTAACATATATTTAACATAATTTTATCAATACTATAACAGAATGTTTATTATGTGAATAATTAATTTAATTAATTTATAATTTAAATATATTTATTTATAAAAAATAAATAAAACTTGTCTAATTGTACTATTAATTGCAACAAATAAATAAACGAAATTTTAATAATTATTATAATAAAAATTTACACAACATTAAACAGTATTAAGTTCCCGATAATTAGCATTATTATATTCAGTCATGCAATTCCTCATCAAAATCCTTAAGCTTAATATTTTATGTGACATTTTATTTAATATTTTTTGCACTCATTCCTCGGTTTTGTTTTTAGTTTTTCTTTAATAATATGTTTAATGAGAGGAAACTCATAGAATATTCCTATTATTTCCTATTTATTTGTCTGATAAGAGGAGGAAGTGTTTGACAAATATTATCTGCAAAAACATTATCACATATTATCAAATAAATTGGCAAATGTTTTGCACGTTTATATTTTTATTAGCACTTATTTCCACCACAAATACACTATTTGTTTAGTATATTTCGTAAAATGGTTTCTATTATTACTTATAATTGCATTAATAAGTGATAAAAACGGTGTGAAAATGAATAGAAATAAGGGGTTATATATTTTTTTATTGTCATTAGAGAACAAAATATTATGGGTTTTAGCAATCATTTCCTATATTATAGAAATACCTTTTATTAGTATAAATATACAGAATGTTTGATAAAGCAATTGGCTTTTGGTGTGAAAATAAACAAAAATCCCACTTATATTGCAAACATTTTATGCTAATAGTTATGTTTGACATGAATTATATAAACGTTTCTATAAATATATTAATCTGTATTTTAAATATTAAATATTATTTTATGCCTTCAAAAAACACAACTATTTAAACAATTAAATGATTTAAATGCAGTAAACAAGTTATTATTCAGTTAAAATATTACCAATATAGCTTGGCCAATCTATAAACATTGTTACTTAATTAAGTTATTTTTTAGTACATTGTTAAAAATATATAATTATCCATAAAAATTACTTAGTTTTTGTTTATTTTTTGGACTAATCAAAGTTACACAAAATTGTTAATTTAATTACTAATCGACGCATAATAATTGGACAAAAATCGTATATTTTAAACAAATTTATTGAATGGTATTTTATAAAATTTAAAAATTTGAATAATTATTTAATTGAAAATATAAAGTATTTTAATGTTTCACAAAACATTTTGCATATAATTTTTTTTTTTGAAAATTTCTTTTTTAAATTCGCTCATAAATACCTTATATAATGTGATGAATAAGTTTTCTTAAAATAGTTAATTCAAAATATACTGTATAAAGGATTTCACATGTTTTAGATTAAATATAAAGAATACATTTATGTGTTAATTAATAGCAAATGCATATTTCGAGTCCTTTTGAATGCATATTTCAAAGAAAATGCATTAAATATCTACTATTTAACGTATGAATACTTTTAACTGTAAATTACATAATGTTTTATATTAAAGTTTTACATTAATGTTTTATATTTTCATATAAAGCATATGTAAATATGCTTTATATTTATACTGTATGTAATGTAATATTTATAATAGCCATCGACTTTTTAGAATATTTCTAAAATTTATATTGCTAGATTTATCGATTTAATTTCAACCTGTTAAAATAAAAAACAGTTTGAGATCAAGTTGAAGTAACAAATTCTTATAAATGTATTACAAAATACAGTACACAATATTTTTTTAAATGATATTTTTGCTAAAGAATCGATAAAAACCAGAATAAAGTTTATGCAATATTTTTAGTAAAAAATATTGTATTTTGAATTCAAAAATAAATAGAAACCATAAATCACTCAAAAGATGATTCAGTTTTTTATGATTTAAGTCACGCATCAAATCGAAAGTGTGGCTAAATTTTATAGTAAATTACATCCAAATTTTATAGTAAATTACACCCAAATTTTATTTGCATATCATTAATGATTTTAATGTCCTTCATATCACTTAATATTTACTATTCATTACATCTAAATTAAGTTATTGCAAATTAAGCCAAAGTATAAGTGGTTTAATAAAATAATAAAAATAGTATTTGATAGAAATGTCATACGTTTTGAATTTCTGGAGACAATTGCCGTTAATTACGAGAAGAAGAGCCAATTTATTGGGCAAAACGGGAGGCATAATGACAGCCATCGGAGGCCTTCTGTTTATAACATTCCCAACACTTGTAAGCATTGGTCTGAAGAGTCAAATGCAAATCAAAGAGGGAAACGATATCACGAAGAGTTGGAAAGACGTTCCGTTAGCCATAACTGAGAAGATTTATGTTTGGAGTATTGAAAATCCAATTCAATTCTCAAACGGAGCCAAACCTATACTCAAAGAAAAAGGACCCTATTTTTGGAAGTGAGTCTTATTTGTAAAATAATATATTTGTTATGACAACGATTTAAGCCATAAAAATAAATTTATATATTAATAATAAAATAATGATATATTCTATCACAGAATAAATGAAAGTCTTATTATGTTTGATATTCAATATATAGAGTATAAGTATCGCAATTACACAAGACTTGTAAATGCAAGAAAGTGTAATGGATTTCACAACAGAGCTATATAATTATCTCAAATTCAATTTACCGTTTGATCCCATTGTTGTAATTTATTATTGAGTTTGCACTCTAGACATAGGCTTACAAAGTAGTATTAACAGTAATAGCAAACAAAAACAATACTGTATTAATAGCACCAGAATGAAAGTTTTCTCACTTGTGTTTATTCACTACTGTTTGCAATGTTATAATGGTATTGAAGGCAACATCGATGGAAAGAGATTATCTCGTGGTCTGCGGACGAGGAGAGTATAGCGTATTGGTCTTCGCAATCATTTACATTTGATAAGACCAGAACTGATGGCAATCTTAACGACAGAATAACAATCATTAATGTTCCCGTTTATGTGCGTAACCACACGTTTACTCACAAAAGTTGTTTTTACAACTAATAAACGGATTTAAGTTTTTACAATAACAAAAAACTTTTTGCTAATTAGGCGATGGCTTATGTGATCAACAATTTGGTCGATCAGTTGCCCCTCTCTTTCACGATCGCTCCCATAATCTTTGGTTTTGTGAATATTCTGTTCACAACACACGGCGAGGGCTTTATTAAGGAGCTAACAGTCGGCCAACTTATAGAGGGCTATCCGTTCAGTATATTGGATACGATTGACATATTAACAAAACCGTTGACGTGGTTTGGTATCAAACTTCCCGATAACGGAATGCCGGGCAATAGATTCGGTCTTTTATCGGTAAAAAACTTCACAAAAGACGGACCCTATGAAGTGTTTACAGGACAGGGGAATACAAAGTTTCTCAAATACATCAGCTATAAGGGCAAAAAGTAAATTAATTTTGTTTTATGTTTTTGTTTTTTAATTATAAGTTTAAAATTTTTTAGTGTATTTCTAATATCGTTTACAATAGAGTTTTAGATATTAATTAAGTCTAAAGACTATGTGTTTTTTAAATAAAAGTTCTGCATATATTTATTTCTTTAGTTAATATTTTGTCATCAATGGAAAGATGAAACTTAACTAAACAACCTTTTAGTAAAGTTTTTAGTCTTTTTAGATAATTAAAAAATGGCAAAATTTATTGAAAAACAAAAATTATAAGACTTGTATTAAATGACATATTGAGCAGAAATACGATATCCATTTAGATCTCTAGAGTTTTATAACGATCCCAATTGTAATCTAATGAATGGTACGGATGGCACCACAATGGGCTCATTTCTATCTCGATCGGCCACTGTTGATATATTTCAAGGGGACGCGTGCAAGTATGCAATTATCATCATCATAATGTCCAACACTGATTGCATTTAATGACCACTGAGTTGACACTCAATTTGCAGATCATTTCACATCAAATACAAGACCGACTCCTCTGTGAGGGGAATATCGACCTATCGTTTTGTTTTCCCGCAATCGTTGTTCGCCTCTCCGGACAAAAACGCCGACAATAAGTGCTTTTGTCGGACACCCGCTCATTACGAGCAGTGCGACGGCATATTTGACCTAGGTCCCTGTCAAATGGGCGCACCCCTCGCCTTCTCTTTCCCTCATTTTCTTTACGCGAGTAATACTATTAGAGGAGGCGTTGAGGGCTTAACACCGCTTATCGATAAACACGAAAGTTTCTTTGATATCGAACCGGTATTTATCATAAATATTGCAATAATACTAACCATTTACAGAGTAATGAACCACAAGTTAATATAAAGTGTGCATAAAATATTCAGTAAATATAAATAAGTTATGTTAATGTCAATAAATTGATTATATTGATACCCTTGTTTACCCTATTGCTTTCTACATGAAAGTCAATTGGTATTCAAATCATAGTATTTTATAAAAATACAAGCCTTTAGTGCGTAAACATGTTGTTCATTACACCAGAAAATTTGTGTTTTCAAAAAAATATCTGTAAATATTTAATACATGAGAAGCAAGACTTCATTGTCTGATTCGATGCAAACATTTGTGATATAATGTAAAGCTTTACAATACATTGTATACACTTTTATACACCCAATATGTATGATAGACATTGGGGGCACCGCTCAGGGCTTCTGGTAAACTACAAGTGAATGTTGTATTGAAACCAATTTCACTCATTCCGTAAGAAAATAAATATTTATTTTATAATTGAGATCTTATTTTGGCTCAAAATATAACATTTATTCAACAAATTAGAGCCTTTCGTAATGTGAAGGAAGCGATAGTACCGTTCGTATGGCTCGAAGAGGTAATTGAAAATTGAAATTCAATTACAATTTTGCATTATTTTTTGAGCGAATAAAATTGATTTAAAAAAAACTATTTTTAGCATTTGATTAAGGAATGTCATAAATAACTGAAATTTACTATAATTTCATATTTTTTTGTAGTAATATTAAACAGCAATTTGCTCAATTGGAATTTTTGATACTTTTAAAAAATATAAAGTATTGTATTATAAAAATTTATATTATAATAACATCCCTAGAGTACTGTAGATTGAAACATTATTATTGAAACAATATTATAATGTTGCAAAAATGCAAAAAATTTCATTAATTAGAAAGTATAACAAATTTTTGGTTCATATTTTTTGGTAAACGTATTATTAATAAGAACAATGAATACAATACTTTGTTTATTTAATAAAAAATTTAATTAATTAAAACTTTTCAAAAATGCAAACAATATATAAAATTACCCATTAATTAAAATATTTAATTCTAGTAAACATTTTAGGAGTTTAGCCAAAATTTTGTCGACAAATAATTAGACACAAATATAAATAAAATTTCTAATTAATGTTTAACTAAAAGTTTGCGGAAATTGACGACAAATTTGAACTAATGATCAAAATGGCAACCATTCCTATGGCTGTTATTAATTATGGATCACTAATTGTGGCCGCAATGGGACTCATAGTTATGACCAGCGCTTTAGGATATGCAGCCATTCATAGGAATAATGTAAACAATTATGAATATTAATGCAATAAACCCATTATTATTTTGCTAAATACTATTTTTAGTTAATCGACGACAAGAAGGAGATAACAGTTGACGAAAAAGACAAACTCGAAGACAAAACGCAAGAAATGAATGGAAATATAAACACAACTAAAGAAGAAGAAAAAAAACAGTGAGAGTGGAAACCGACAGAAAAAGAAGATTAAAGCGAATGCTTTTGTAGATAAAAGAGACACAAAAGACAAACAAGAAATTAATGGAAATTTGAGAAATAAATCAATCGATAGACACAAAACTAAAGCCATTGATAATCATTCCGTATCGCAGACACACAGATCTGATCAGACAGTCGGCAACAATAACAACCTTAATAATCATAATAATGGTAAAAATGCAACGAATTTCGCAATAAGTCAACCGAATAATAGCATTGGAGCTAATAATACAATTCTGACAAATGATAGCCCAATAAAGGGGACGCGAAATACAGATATTTTTATCCCGTTTAACACTACCCCAGAACCCACACCCGTAACCACTCCCGGGTCCGTAGAATAGGCTCATAATGAGCCGCTCATTCATTCATTATATTGTTTTATGGCTTAATTTCAATCAAATAAATATCAATATAAATGGATTTAGTTAATAATGAACTCAATTCCTATGGAGTTAATGAAATAAATATTAAAAAGAGATGCAAATATTTAAACAGATTTTTTACATTTTTCACTCAATTTAGTGCAGAATGTATTGCGTAAATGGTTTTGAAAACTTTGATGCATTAATCTTTACATTTATATAATATACGTATGTTTGAACTCAATAATAGTTATGCATTCATTGAAAATGCATTTTATTTGCACAATTCATTTACTATTCAATACACTGTATTATTTATTTTATTGACAAATATGTAACATTAAAATTTCAATATCCAATACAAAAATAGTGTAAAGTAAGTGAAAAATAGGAAAAGTATTTCCAATCAATACTGAAAGCCTGTTTTAGCGTAGACTTTATTTTACAGTAATGCTATACTTTTTACACTAAAAAGCAAACAGAATATCTGACAATGTTCAACTCACATTTTCATGTAAATGATCATTATAAATAATTAATTAGAAAAATTCATGTTGCCTTATCAACTCAATTTTTAATTATTCTTTCTTTTAGATTTTAAATAACAACAAAAAATACAAACTATTTTTATAACTTAATTTTTAATTTATTGGTTATATAACCAATGATATAAATTTAAAATCATATGAATACATAAAAATTTACTAAATTATTAATGAATATCAGAGTTTGCATAATACATATGGTAATGGCATACAAATTTATATCATTTGATCTAGATATTCTAAACAATTAATATGTTCAGGGTTGTGCAAACCGACCTAATATTTCCTGGTCATACTAACAATAAAATATTGTAGATTTGAAGTTATATTTATAAGGTCTACAAATATTGTACTCTGTATTTTAATTCAAATAACTAATTTATTCACTTATTACTAAATAAATAAATGCTTTTATTTAAGAGTAATAAATAACCATTGTGATTACAATTATTATTATTATTATTATTATTATTACACTGTATTATTATTAAGATAAATATCAATTCATTTTTACAAAATCACAAATTAAATTAAGTTTGTAAGTACTTTAAAGTTCGTTCATTATTGTTTTGTCATTTATTATTGTAATGTTATTTATAATTCCTATTGAAAACATATTCAAACAACTGATTAAATAAAAAAGTTTAGTTTATTATAAATTCATATTCATTCAATGTTTTTCAGCTTTTATTTTCTTATTTATCAAACAGTGAATTAGTTTTAATGCACTTTTAAAAATATAATACACTTGAAAAAATGAAAAAATTAAAATTTTAAAAAGACTTACAGCCGTTTTATATTATGTTATTTACAAATTATGTTAAAGAGTTTGATATTTATATTAATGATTATGATAATTGTTATGAATGGTACAAATGGAGGTCAGTTTAGTTAAGGAATTTAATAACAATTTTGTAAATTCATAACATTTTATTGTTTAAGAATCGGAAGGAATATCTCTATTGAAGCAGAAAAAGGCTCAAAAGACTAACAAAAACCGATCGAGAGCTCAGTCCAGGGCTTCGGGCACTTCGACCGCCTTTTGGCCAAATGGTGTCGTTTACTATCAAATCGACAATTCCTTATGTATGGTAAGCATTGAGTGAACGATAATTGTGTTGACTAAACATGATTGCTATTCCGGGCACAGCTTCACACCGACGGCTCATTACAAATGCTATGCGAGGCATACAGTCCCGCTCTTGCATTGTGTTTAAGCCTAGAAGTAGTCAAACAAATTTTATCCAATTCTTTAGGGGAGACGGGTATGTGTTATGTATACTATATTACTAAACATTATGTATAAAACATAAACTTTATATATAAAAATCCAAATATTTATGTTTAAAGTAAATTGAAAGATATTTTTGTTATTTGTTATGAAACTTCAAATAAAAATTGCTAAATACAGATGCTATTCATCGGTGGGCAAAGTGGGTGGCCGTCAGTACTTATCGCTGGGCAACGGGTGTCACGACATCGGGAGTGCGATGCATGAGATACTGCACGCGCTGGGTTTTGTTATTTGAACCCTATTTTATGAAAAGCAATAAAATAATGAAAGTAATTGTGAATTTAGAAATTTGTTCACACATTTGTTGTATTTTCTAATTATACTATTATATAAATATAAATAAATATATTAAATAATTAATTATTATTTGATGTAAATATCTTAATAAACTTTTTTAATTAAGTCATTAAACTACGTTAATAATGCAAACAGTTTTGAAATGTACATAATTACAATCTATTGTAACTGAATTGTCATTTTAATGAATATAGTAAATTTGAATACTTAATTTAAATATCTAATTTTAATCACATCTGCAGTAAATTCAATAGAGTATATCATGTGATTTTATAAATAAATTTAATTTTGCATTCATTTATTTAATTAAATATTTATTCTAAAAATAAAATCATAAAGTTTTGTAAATATAAACTAATTACAAATTGAAATTTTAACCAACTAGACCCAAGTATTTAGAATCTAAATGAATTGCACATGATAAAATTGCATCATTTTTCAGGGATTATCGCAAATCACTTTAACTATTATCGAAGTATCATAATTAAGTAATAATATCTATAATGATCTGCACTTTTGACTAGTATTTTTGTTAGTTTTAATTTTTTGTACAATAAATTTACCATAATTGTTATTGACAACAATTTCATAACATTCAATATACTTATAACACTTTGCGAAACACATTCAACTGGTGGTAATGTAAACGTGATAAAAGCTGTTGAGATAATTCATATAAAATCACAAACACTTATTGCTATTAAAGCAAAATATTCGTTAAGTAAGTGATTAGTTGTAAACATTGATATTTATATAATTTATCATTTCTTTTGAATATTACTAACAATATTAATTATATTATATTTACCATGAAGTTAACATGATCATGTATCAATCCATATATTGCTTGAACATAATATAACAGTTATGAATTGTATAATAATGAAGATTAAAAGCATTTGTTTAATTGTGTTTATTTATGTTAATTTCATTGATCTCCGTATCGATGCCGTGAAGAGACCTAATGTTGTGCTTATAATTGCAGATGATTTTGGTTCTCATATTTATAATTATTTATAATTTTGTTAAATATTTAATAAAATAAATTTATAACAAACCTTATTCTACATATAGGTTGGGGAGACGTCGGGTTTCACGGCTCACATCAGGTGAAGACACCAAACATAGACCTATTGGCCGGAAGTGGTATTCTTTTAAACAACTATTACGTGTCTCCCATTTGTTCGCCGTCGAGAAGCGCTATCTTAACGGGTTATCATCCCATCCATACCGGTCTACAGCACGACGTCTTCAACGGCGCCGAACCTTTCGGAACTCCTCTTCAATACAAACTACTTCCACAACATCTGAAGGATTTGGGTTATGAGACACACGCTGTGGGCAAATGGCATCAGGGATTCTTCACTAAGGATTATATCCCAACTCAGAGAGGGTTTGATTCACATTTCGGGTATTGGACGGGACATGAAGACTATTATGACAGGACTTCTATGGAAAACTGGTGGGGAATCGACTTCAGAGACAATGAAAAGCCGGCAAACCTTACAGAATATGAGGGCATTTATTCAACAGATATTTACACAAATAAAGCCATTGATATAATTAATGGGAGATGTAATTCAACAAAACCTCTGTTCCTATATCTGGCCCATCAATCGGTTCACGCGGGGAATATAATGGATTCACTTCAGGCGCCGCAACAATATATCGATCGATTTAAATACATCGAAGACTACAGAAGACGAACATTTGTAGCGATGGTATCGGCTTTGGATGACTCGGTTGGAGAGGTCTTCTCCGCCCTCCAGAAGGCGAATATATTAAACGATACGATCATTATATTCACGACAGACAACGGGGGCGCCACTGGAGGGACAGCCGGATGGAGTATTGATGACAGTATTGGATCAAATTGGCCGCTAAGAGGTTACTATTATTTAATTACACAATAATTTTAATAATTTCAACAATTTATAAGTTTAGGCGCAAAATACACGCTATGGGAGGGAGGGATTCGCGGCATTGCTTTCATATGGAGTCCATTCTTAAGAAAGACATACATTAGTGACCACTTAATGCATGTCACAGATTGGTTGCCCACAATATACAGCGCAGTCGGCGGTAAAACTCAAGACTTGGGACCCATTGATGGCATTGATATGTGGAATATTCTTAACAATAATTTACAGAATCCAAGAAAATCTTTATTGCATAATATAGACCCCATTTGGGATGTTTGGGCGCTCAGGTATGGCGACTATAAACTAATATCGGGGACAGTATATAACGGAGATTTTGACGGTTGGTTTTTACCCCCCGGAGAAGCAAATGAAACAACAACTGTAGAAAATTTGGTTGTTTCCCAAAATTTGCAAATTAATTACAGAAAATCAAAAGTTTATAAAACATTAAAACGATTAAATTTCGACTCAATTAGAGTGAAGGATATTGTGTTGAAATGTAACTCATCTTTGATGACAGACTGCGAGCCGACAATAACTCCATGTCTTTTCAACATAAAGTCAGATCCGTGTGAATATCACAATATATACCAACAAAATCCAGATATTGTCAAAACAATGCTAAACGTATTGAATACATATAACGCAAGTGCTGTCCCGCCGGGCAATCAGCCCGTAGACAATGACGCAAATCCTGTTTATCATAATTACATGTGGGATATCTTTAAGTGAAAGTATTTTACATTAATCCTTCCTTTGTATTACTAATTATTGTATATTTTCGAAGTATTCTTCATAACTTCATTGTTATTTTAATGAAGCAACTAATATTGATATCATTTGACATTACATTTTTACAATTAAAATCATATTTACATAAACTATGTAAACATTAAATATTTTTAAATTGTATAATAAAATTAATAAAAATAAACCAGGTAGCTCTCCTAAGTTTCTACCATCACCTCAATCTATACTTCACTTGTTATTTCACAACAAGTATTTGTTAATCAGTGACAATAAAATTAATACAGGTATAAATTATATTGGCAAAGAATTCATAATAAATGATTTTCACTTTATATTTGTATTTTAATTTTGTTAGTAAATAACCCTCCCCACTCTTGAGGTATTATATAATTGCTTTTTAATTTATATTAAGTACACTAAATAAAAATAAATAGGTTAAAGTATTATAGATAACAAAATACTCCACGATATTGTAATTAAATCAGAATTTTTTTTATAGATTACCAATTCATAAACACTTAAATTGATTGTAAATCATTAATTAATATTTATTGTATGCGATTAGAAATAATTACTAAAAAAATTAAACAAATGTTTTGCAATTACTATACATAATAAAACCAATTCGCGTAAATATGTTTATTCATTAATGTACAAAATTAAATTTATATTAAATTTATTATATAATAATGAAAATTCAAAGAACAAGTTTTATTGTATTGATTTGCATAAATTGTTTCTATTTAAGTGTTAGTGCTTTAATATGTTTATTCATTAATGTACAAAATTAAATTTATATTAAATTTATTATATAATAATGAAAATTCAAAGAACAAGTTTTATTGTATTGATTTGCATAAATTGTTTCTATTTAAGTGTTAGTGCTTTAAAGAGACCTAATATTGTATTAATAATAGCTGACGATTACGGTTGGGATTAATATTCTTATTGATTAAAACATAAAATTAAATAAACTTATAATAAGCATAGGTTGGGGAGACGTCGGGTTTCACGGCTCACATCAGGTGAAGACACCAAACATAGACCTATTGGCCGGAAGTGGCATTATTTTGAACAACTATTACGTGTCTCCCATTTGTTCGCCGTCGAGAAGCGCTATCTTAACGGGTTATCATCCCATCCATACCGGCCAACAACACGATGCATTGGGTGCTGCCGACCCCCGAGGAATACCACTTCAATACAAACTACTTCCACAACATCTAAAGGATTTGGGTTATGAGACACACGCTGTGGGCAAATGGCATCAGGGTCACTTTAAAAGAGATTATATCCCAACTCAGAGAGGATTTGATTCACATTTCGGGTATTGGACGGGACATGAAGACTATTATGACAGGACTGCTGTCGAGAACTGGTGGGGAATTGACTTTAGAGACAATGAAAAGCCGGCAAACCTTACAGATTATGAGGGAATTTATGCGACAGATATTTACACAAATAAAGCCATTGATATAATTAATGGGAGAAGTAATTTAACAAAACCTTTGTTCCTATATCTGGCGCACCAATCGGTTCACTCGGGAAATACAAGACAACCCCTTCAGGCGCCGCAACAATATATCGATCGATTTAAAGATATCAAAGATATGAGACGAAGAACTTTTGCAGCGATGGTTTCGACTTTGGATGACTCGGTTGGAGATGTCTTCTCCGCCCTCCAGAAGGCGAATATATTGAACGATACGATCATTATATTCACGGCAGACAACGGGGCGGCCACTGGAGACACTGCCGGTATGTTTGATGACAGCATTGGGTCGAATTGGCCGCTAAGGGGTTAGTATTGAATAACATAATACATTTAATTATTGATTTTTCCATATTTTGTATGTTTAGGCGCCAAATATACCTTATTTGAGGGCGGGATTCGTGGCACTGCTTTCATATGGAGTCCATTATTAAGACAGACATACATTAGTGACCACTTAATGCATGTCACCGATTGGTTGCCCACAATATACAGCGCAGTCGGCGGTCAGACTGAAGACTTGGGACCCATTGATGGCATTGATATGTGGAATATTCTTAACGATAACTCTCAGAATCCACGAAAACATTTATTGCATAATATAGACCGCGACAATCATATGGATGTTTGGGCGCTCAGGTATGGCGACTATAAACTCATATCGGGAACAGTATTTGGCGGACGTCTAGACGGTTGGTATTTGCCTCCCGGAGAAGTAAATGAAACAAACGATAATAATTATGTCACTCATCAAAGTCTGCAAAAACATTACCTAAATTCAAAAGTATATCAAACTCTCAAACGATTAAATGTCGATTCAATTGAAGTGAAAGAAATTATTGTGAAATGTAACGCATCCCTGAAGACAGACTGTAAGCCTACAGTAAATCCATGTCTTTTCAACATTAGATCAGATCCGTGTGAATACAACAATATATACCAAAAAAATCCAGATATTGTTAAAACAATGCTAAACATATTGCATATTTATAACGCAAGTGCTGTCCCGCCGGGCAATCAGCCCGAAGAAGATAAAGCAAATCCTATTTATCATAATTACATGTGGGATATTTGGCGTTAAAAGTATTAATATTTTATATTTCCGAGTTTCATATAATAAATTCTTATTAATTAATCAAATATGATATTAATTTACATTATTATTATTAATAATTTTTACTACATAATGTTAAAGTTATTTAAGTTGATGCATTTTATTAATTTAATACATTTGTTGTGTAACAGAGAATTAATTTTCAATTAAAACCATTCATATATAATATTTAAAACAAGATTCTAGGAAGAGAATGTTCAAAAAAGATCTAGTCACTTTATTTGTAAAGAGTGTGAAAATTAAAGTATATTTTCAGTATTATTATCAAAAAATGCAAAATGTTTTTAAATGTAAAGTTCATTGATTTATATTTTGGAAGTGAATGCCTGAAACTCTTATCATATAATAACCCTTTTTATGAACCCTTTTTGTTAAGCATTTCTTAAAGTTGTTTGAATTGAAAATTATTTATATTTAAATCGTTTAGTTGGATATAAATTTAATTTAATTTATTTCCTATTAGTTTGTAAATTAAGAATTTTTTATTGATAAGCATTTATCAACAATAAAACTATTTAACTATTTGCAAACATTGTTCATATGGCCTCCAATTCATTAACATATTGTGATTTATTTGAATATTGTATTAATACAGCAATTAAACAGTATTTATAAAACATTATAATTAAACATAAAACTCAAGCTTTACATTAATAAATAGGAAAATAATAGGATTCTGAATAAACATGCAATAAATTATTTTGCAATTAATATACAGTACTTTTTGTATCCATTTATTAATGAATTTGGAGGCCTTGTTATCACTGGTGATAAAGTATATCCCATATATCCTAAGGCCATGTCATTTACACACAAGTAAAGCAAGAATTTGTTTTAATTGAAACAAAACTCATATAACTTTCTCTTTGAGTCCAAACACTCAAATTTCAAAAAATCAAATATAATAATTAGTTTCTTACTCTTTCTCAACACTATTTTTGTGAATTATATTTTTATTATAATAGTTTGTGTTAATTATTAATATATCGTTTAATATTAAATTCTTGTAAATCATAATTATTTCAATATCCAACATGTTTTCTAAACCCAGTTTCATTCAATATGATAGATTTAACATATTTTATTTTATGTTCACTATATGACCGTGTTTTTATAAATTTATATATAAATTTAAATGAATTTATTACTGTTTTTAATTATTAGGCCTATTTTATACATTTTTAAAAATTATAATTAACATTTGTTCTATATAAATAAACTAAGTTAATAGTATCAATGTTTTAGGAATATTTGTGTAATGTTTACTACAATAAAGAATTCAATCATAATATTTATTATATTTAATACACTTTACGGGAAATCAAGATCACTTTTAAATGAACATAAAAGACCAAATATAGTCTTTATATTAGCCGACGATTTGGGTATTTATTTATATTTAATTTTATGCATTTAGTAATCAATTTCTATTTCAATATAAAGGTTGGGGTGATGTCGGTCTTCACGGATCCAATCAGATTCAGACACCAAACATAGATTTATTGGCGAGTAATGGCATCATTTTGAACAACTATTATGTATCACCACTTTGTAGTCCATCGAGAAGTGCTCTAATGACGGGTTACCATCCAATTCACACCGGCTTTCAGCACAGTGTCATCCATAACGCCCAGCCCTGGGGTTTACCCCTTAAATTTAAAATATTGCCACAATATTTAAGACCATTGGGCTATGAAACCCATATTGTGGGCAAATGGCACTTAGGCTTCTTCAAGAAGGACTATTTGCCCACAAACCGGGGCTTTGACTCTCACTTTGGCTTCTGGTCCGGACATACAGACTATTACGACCGCAAGTCATCACACAATGGCTTTGATCTCCGGCACAACGAGAGACACG